TAACACCGGAGACACAGCCCGGACCACGAGTGTTGAACCACCCCCGCGCAGTGTTTCTTCAGCAAGGCCGCGGTAGACACTGCCCCTGAAGCGCACAACCGCACCTGACGCGCAAAGAAAATTGATAAAAAGAAGCACCACAAGCACGCTGAGTCCAGCATGAGAGCAACAACAATGTGGCCTGGCCATGATCACCTAACCTCTTTTGTTACAAGCGGTAAGAAAAACAAACAAACAAATATATATTTGCAGGATTTTGCTCCCCCAATTCCTCCCTTCCCTTTTTCTCTTTTATTATTCTTATTACCTTTATTTTTGATGTGTTCTTCGCTGCCGCTATTTTCTTTTGCCCCCCTCCTCCCTCAGAAACCAAATTTACATGCAAGCCACTTCGCCGCTACCACCACCCACTTCCTTCTCCAACCCAAAAGAAAAAATTGTGTGTTCTAGCAGCCTCCACGCTTTTTTTTTTTTGGAGTAAAACTACAACAAACAAAGAGGGACGCAAAAATGCAATAAAGAGACGGAAAGAAACACCGATGCAGCACACAACAGCCTCCTCAGGGTTGCTCGCTGACCGTTTCCCACCCATCAACGGAACACCGGCCACAAGAGAAGGATGAAAAAGGGTGAAATTGCAGGCAGCCTGAGGAGCAATACTGTTGTGTACCTCACCGACAAAAAGACACTGTTGGAGAGGGGCAAAGAATATCATATAAAGAGTAGGAAAAAAAAAAAAAAAAGATCTAAAGGCGCCGCCGCGGCTCACACGTACATTCCTCATCATCACAGAAAAGAAGGGGGGGAAGGAAACGCATTATATAACGGGATCTGCTCCTGTTATATTTACATCGCCGCCTTTTTTTTTTCTTTCTTTCTTTCTTTCTTTCTTTCTTTTAAACAACAACAACAACAAGAAAAAAAAAAAAAAAAACACGCAGGAGTGCAAAAAGAAAAAAAAAAAAAAAAAAGAAAGAAAGAGGGAAAAAAAGAGGAAAAAGATCATTATAATAAGGAAAATTTCCTCTTAAAGAAAAAAAAAGAAAAAAGAAAGAAAAAAAAAAAAATATATATATATATATATATATATCGCAGGGGCAATTGGATCCCAATCGTGCCTTTAGTTTTCAAAAAAGGAAGCATGACTGCCGTAAAAGGATTTGTTAACGACAAAGTAACAATTTCAAAATTCGTGCAAATCCTCCTGTGTTTTCAAGCTCCTTTATTTGGGCCAACTGCGCCTGATACTGCATAAGGTCCATTGTCGCCAGACGCAATGTTTCCTCAAGTGCCCTCTCTTTTTGACTCTTTTCGCGAGTGAGCCGCGACAAGGCCTCCGCAGCATAAATCTCCTTTTCTTCTGCCTCCTTGCAGCGCTCTTGAACGCTACGCATGACGACAATATCCATTTCACGCTCCTGGCGCATGGAAGAAAGCATCTTATTTAAACGTTGCTTTTCTTCCGCCAACATGGAAAGTTTTTCCTCCAGATCACGCTGGGCTTCCGTTTGTTCTTCCATTTCACACTTTTCTCGCTCAATCAACTCCTTGTAGGAGTCGGGCAACTGACAACAAGGAGTGATACCCAAACGCTCCAACTGACTCTTAAGGCGAATACACACTTTAGCCACAAATTGCATCTTAGATGCATTCTCAATAACAAGTTCATCCTTAAATATGA